TACTCCAATTTTTTCTCTAATATTTGCCGTAAAGAAAATATTTGATCGATAGTCGAACGGTTCGGTCTAAATCCGCATTGGTAGTCTCCGATAATTTCCTCGGCGTATTCCGTGATTCGACTGGTTAAGATTAAAGTGAATATTTTATAACATACCGGAAGGAGTGAAATTCCTCGATAGTTATTACAATCCGTCCTCGGACCCTTTTTGTGAATCGGAATAAGAATAGATTCTTTCCATTCTTCAGATAATTTCTCGTTCACCCAGATCTTTTTAACCAACCGATGTATTTTAGAAACTCCAGCTTCCCCGCATGCCTTAATTAGTTCAGTAGGAATATTATCGATTCCCGCTGCTTTATATGATTTTAATTTTCCGATAGCTACTTCAACTTCCTCTTTACTTGGTCCTTCTATTAACGGTTCAGCACTCTGATACTCAGAAGGAGGACACAGATCATAATTTCCCGTATTTAAAATATTGTCAAAGTGGTCCTTAAACTTATTCAATATGTCAATCGGATCGGTCAGAATATTGTTATTATCATCCCTAATTCCAGACGTTACGGGCCCTACATATTTACGTGATCTGTTTATACCTTTGTACATGTCTCTTACGTTATTTTCGATTCTATTGGTTTCTATTTCAATTATTTTATTTTTAAGATACTCCCTTTTTTTATTTTTGAGCAATTTTGTCGTTTCGTTCTTTGAGATTCGGAAGTATTCCAGATTGTCTTCGCTAGGATTATTTAGAGCTTTTAATTTAGCGGCTTTTCTTTTTTCACACATGGTTAAGCAATCTTCATCAAACCACGGTTTGTTATTCTTATTTTCCTTTTTTCCTAGACACGAGTTACCGACCGCTTTAATATTATCCCTGATCTCTACCCATAACTTGTCAATATCCTCGTGGTCTTCGTCAGGAAGCTCTAAAGCTTCAAACCTATTCTTAACATCTAGCTCGAATTGGTTTCTAATTGATGGATTTTTTAATTTTTCCAAATTAAAATTCTCAAAATCGAAACGGTTTTCTTTTCTCTTTTTTATATTAAGTTTTTGTCGAAGTTTCGCGATTACTAATTCATGATCCGACCCACATTCTGCTCCGCGATAAGACCGTACATTGATTATACTGCTTTGCCAGCTGTGTTGTATCAAGACATGATCGATTTGATTTCGTGTTTGCGAATCAGGTGATGTCCAAGTATATTTATGAATATCCTTATGTTTAAACGTCGTACTTTTAATTATCAGGTTTTTCGAGATGGCAAAGTTTATCAGACGGATCCCATTATCATTACTATATTCGTGCAAACTTTCTTTACCAATCGTCGGAATATAAACTTCTTCCCTTCCTACCTTTGCGTTCGCGTCACCTACAATCATTTTCATGTAGTTTCGCGGTAGTTTATCATAAACCAATTCGAGTTTATCGTAAAATTCACTTTTGACTTCATCGTCACTGTCTTCGGTCGGACAATGTATGTTTATTAATGCGATTTTAAACCAACGTCCCTGAAATGTGGCTACCGAAATTCTATCACTAAAGAATTGTACGTCCCTCAAAGCGGATAGTAGTCTACTCCTAATTAGAAACCCGGTACCTAAACAATGATTCCCGCTTCCTCCGTACCAAATAGTGTACTTTCCTTCCCTCATCGAGCCCTCCCCTGGCCAGCGAACCTCTTGCAGAGCCACGACATCCAAATTGTACCCATTTACCTCATTCGCGACCGATTTTAGCCCCCCTGCTGTGTTTAAACTCCTTACGTTCCACGTACCAATATTTAAATCCCTATATTTCAACTTGCACCATGAATCCCCTAAAGCAGTCCCCACCCGGAGACCCGAACGGGGGACTAGTTTACCTCCGGATAATGAGCGTTTTACCTTAGGGAGATCCATGACTTTTTGTGGTGTTTGGTGAACTAAAGATATGTGAGTAGGGCGTTCAATCCTACGTCACACCCTCCAGCAAGTCTGGTGGGCCCCTACCTCCAGCAAGTCTGGAGGTCCCCTCCCTCCAGCAAGTCTGGAGGGCCCCTCTCATTGTTGGTCAGCGAGTCCATCGGACTTAGTCGGGAGGAATTTCCAAGGAATTTCCACCGACCATCCCCACATCCGCCACCCGTGGGACGCTCCCCATACGCGGTAATGAGCCCGCGCGAGGAATCACAAATAAGATTTTTCTTTTTTACAAACTTGGAGTAAAAATTAATTTAAAGGTATTGAAAATCACACGAAATCTAAGTAACGTTTGGAATCGCCGAAACAATACAGTATAAATTAACTCTTTCAATAAAACCTAAAATTTTATAACCCCATAAAAATATTGTCATAACCCAACCCCACTCCATATGATCAGTGCCTTTCACATTTCACTGCCACATTATATTGTTAACAATTATTTATATTAATTTTAATTATTAAATGCAATTCAATGAAATTCATATTAGGAAATTTCTATACTATTCTCCAAATTTCCTGCAAGTTTGGATCAAATTGAATGCGCTGTTTTCTAACTATAGGCTTGCCAAATAATACGTTTGCTGATCCGAAAGCGAAAGTATTTTTTCTAGTAGAAGTGGATGGAATTTGATAAAATTCATACCTACTTGATTATCTGTTTACCAATCCCTAACTTCCTTCCAAATTTGAGCGAAGTCGAACCTGTGGTTTTAGAGATATAGACGTATCAAGGAAAACACGTTTGCTCATATATACGAGAAATTAGATGACAGAATTCGATAAAATTGACATTACGTTATTTTTTCACCATTACCTACATTTTATCTAATTTTGAGCCAAATCGAACGAGCCTTTTCTGAAATATTGCAATATCTAAAAAAATACGTTTGCGCGTGCGTAAGCGGAAGTACAGAATAGAATTTGATAAAATTGATATGGGACTATCTAGGCACCAATCCGCATAATCCTTGAAAATTTCATGAAAAATGGATGAACGGTACTAGGTGATATGTCCGTCACATCGATTTGACTACAGTTGGGCAGCGGGTACTCTATGGACCAAGGGAGCATCGGTTGGAAGCCATACCTAGCGCGAGCCTTAACCGGCCTCCAACCTAACTCCCTGGACCGGGTACGTCCAAGAGGATGCAGGCACACAATCGGTGCCCACGGAATAAGACAAACACTACTACCATAGCTTCCGTCCACTCGTCCACACATTGTACCAGAAGTTAGCCTGAACAACGTCAAGACTAGCTGAACACTGGTGTCGTGCAGCGAGTGGTCGTAAACACATCGACCACTACGACCGCCACGGCCGAACAGTGCAAGCACTCTCGCCGTCCACCCAAAGCGCCGCCGGGGCTCCGGCGACGCCCCGTAGTACCAATTTGGTCGGGAAGCACTGCTTCCCTGACCTCAGAGCACGATTGGTCTCAGGCTCCGCAATCTTACGATCGCTACGGCTTTACATTGCCTGCCGATGTACAGGAGGATGCCTGCACCTCCGCAGTCAATGAGGGACACGACTCAAACCTAAGGGTTCGAGACGATGACCGTCCCCGTATCGATTTGACTACAGACAGACAAACAGATAACGAACCAAATTTGATCCTTGATATCTGAAACGTAAAACGCGAATGGAAATTTTCGATTCTAAGCACAACATTTTTTTTAACCTCTCGCACATACACAATGCTTCCCTACTATCGGTGGTGAGGAAGCAATATTGTGAGTTAAGGATATCAGTATGGTGTTTAAAAGTTTATTAAATTATCAAGAGATTCAGCGAGGATTGGGTGGGTCCATCCAAACAGGTTGCAAGATGACAAATGGTTTTCATTTAGAAGTTGTCGGAAGAGTCAACAAGCAGCTCTGACGAAGGCTTAAACAAAGGCCTACGTCAGCACAAAAAGAAAATTTGCGTTTGTATTTCACGCTGACTGTTAACTTCAACTTAAAGTATTAACAGTCAACCATTTTCCCACAAGTTTTACAAAAGCCCTCTCTACTACCTGCTTTGGTACATTTGATGTTAGTTGAATAGAGTAGAGGCCGACATGATTTTCTAACTATTCAAACTATCAAAGTGTATTTTAAGTACAACATTATACCAATAAAATACAATATCAAATTGCAGTTTCAAATGTTCAGTAAGAAGCTTAGAAAACAGGAGTGTCCACCCTCTATCTCTTACTTAATGTTGGTAGCATTTAATAAAATATATTAATCTCCCTATTATGAAAATAGTGCAAGTGAAAGTAGAATTACAAAATATTTAGTATATAAACAATTGCATTTGCTTTGGTGTGTGTCCATGTGTTTCCTTATTTTTCTGGTTTGAAAGTTTCTCCAAATTAAAACCCCATGAAAATATGTATTCTTCCCAGCATTCATAACCTCGTCAAAATGCACTTCTCCCAAAGAAGTTCCTCTATGATATTTTTGATGGTGCAACCTGCGTCGTGCCACCCCCTACTGAGCACCCCTTTCGGGGGGGTCTTCAATTTTCGCTGACAAGAGCCTCCAAAATCATTCGCTGCTGGTTTCCACATTGTGATGAAATCTTGTACATACCTACAAAGTCGATGTTATTTTGGCTCTTAAACAATCATTAATTATATTTTATATATATTTTAAAGTCATTGATTTTTTTGTAATTCTTCTATTAAAAACCAAATCCTTTTTAATGAAACCAAATTGTATTTTATCACTATGAAAAAATAATTATTTTTAATAGTTTACGATATGTATTCTTACATGGAAATCTTTACATGATTCTGAAGACTTAATATTTTTTCCCAGTAAAAAAATCCCTTAAAATAAAGATTTTATTGCAATAGTTCCATTATTTAAATTTCCCGGGCTGCGGACAGAACTGGGTCTGGATAATAAATGGTTTGTAAATGTATTATTCACCATTATATGTTACTAATATTACAACAGGATTTAATGCACTACTTGCTGTTTCTTAGATATAAGAAACAAAGTTTTCTTATGCCTGTTCATTATTGATGTTCTCTGTAACTTATATATCCTTCATTGGGCATGTCTCGCGCAGATGCAGACTAACTTTACCAGCAGCCATATATGAGAGTATTTTTGATGTTACCAACAGTTTTTAAAGTTTATTTTAAGTGCTACGTTTTTTATTGTCACCTAAGGCTTGCTAGTAATAGGATGTAATGGTAACGGTATTTACTAAATGTAAGTAAAGTTCGGTCTACTTGGTCTTGCATATACAGGGTTTGATCGATCAAAACCTTAGCAGTGTAATTAAGTTGATAGCATCGTATTTGTGACAGTGAAGTAACATGTTTCAAATTTAAGGTTATAACCTTATCAGCGTTATATTTTACCTTTATTTGACTTTTGTGTATATGCAAATGTGACATAGGTCATGACTATTTTCTATTTATTTAATAAGTTTTTCATTTCATCTTCTGTGACTATTTAAGTGTTCATTTAATTATTTGTGATTATTAACAAGTTAAAAATTGGATCAATATCAACCTTATTATTCACTTATGCCTCAATAAACTACATACAAACTTTGTATTGTTTGCAGAATAACGTTGAGGTATGTATAATGGTATTGGACTTCCAACCCCTCGGGGATCTGGTACCAATGGATATGTACAGAGAAATTGGGCTAGTGTGAAGAAATCCAAAGATAAAGTTAACTATAGGACCGAAGATGATCTTGAAAAAATTGATGCTGCTGGCAATCGGCAGCCCAATAGTGAAATTCTTGATCATGAAAGGAAAAGGAAAATAGAAGTGAAATGCATTGAATTAGAAGAAGTTCTGGAACAGCAAGGGTAAGATCTCATGTTATTATTTTAGGAACATCAATGGTTAATAACATATACTACTCTGATTTGTTTTTGTTTAGATTTTTACTAACTCCTCTCAAACAAATTTTATTAAAATAAAAGAAAAAATACTTAAAGGAATTTTCGGTTTTACTTCATAATTCTAATATCAATGTTAGAAGTAATTTATTTTCTAAAATGACTGTTATCATTGTTGATTGATTAATACATTACTGCGTCTTTACCATATTTCTTTTTATTGGCAACTATTTTTTTCTATCATATTTATCTGGTTTAAGTTTATCTCTAGATATTTGTTGAATGGTTTTTTTTTTTTTTATTCTATCCTGTTTATGAAAATGTAGAACATGAATAAATGTTTCGACACAGATTATGACATTTCATAAACAAGCACTGTTTAGTTCACCACTAAGTGATAATTGTTTACATGTGAATCAATGCAAGCATGACTATACAGTACTAATATTATTTTAAAGTTATTCAGTGTCTACATGTAATATCTCGGTAAAATTTTGACATTCCCATTCTGGTTACTACATATAGAGGGTGGCAACCTCTATTTAATTGTCATGGTTTGGCATAAAGGACTGCAAGGGCGACTGTACCATTATCAGTATTTCTTTCAATAGTTTTCTGATATTTTATTGTATCTTCATAATACCCATTAAGTTAACTTAATTACTTAGTTTAGTGAAGGATACTATTCATATTGATTTTGTATTTGTTGTGTTTAGTTACCTCCAGGATGAGATTGATGCGAAGGTTGCTGCTTATCGGACGATGTTAATGGAAAATGACTCTAAACTTGAAGATCAACCTAGAGATGAATATGGCAGGATAATGTGAGTATTTATGTCTTCTTTATAATGATAAATGAATTCAAACATTAAGTTGCCTTCACCCTTAATAATTTCCCTTTACATAAAATTCAAACCCTAATACTCTTCTCCTAAATTCTTTTTTAAAAAAAAAATAGAATCTAATATAAAATAATATCAATATTATCACCAAGTAAGTCAAAGACACAAAACATTAGTAATTGTTTTGCTAGATGCGTTACAGCGCATTTGCAGATATCATAAAATAATAAAGCAAAAATTCCACAAAGGTCAAACTATAAATTTTTTAAATGTCTGATATTGATTTAGTTCATAAATTATTGATAAGCTACTGTTGAGGATGACAAGTCACTCCATTACTTCAAAGCTGTTAAGAAACAGAAAGTTCTTTTGATGTTCATTACTTAGCTTTTTGAAGAATTATTTTCATTGTAAGATTGTGCAAGGAAGTCCTAAATCTTTGTTTACACTTCAGAAATATTTCTTTATAAATTCAGTTAACTGTGCTTATTGATTTATAATTTCACAACTGGTTTTTCTACTTTTAATCAGTCTTGAACAAAGCTTATATATAGCCACAACTTTTGATTCCTCTTATATTCTAGGCTATTTAGTTATAATTGGTTGCTTACATGAACTTTTCTGATTCATATTTACAAAAATAATTAGTGCTTTGTTTCGAGAGTGGGGACATGGTCATGGCATAAGGGCTACCTTTGCCTAGCTCATACTTTGGATAAAACTGTAATATGATACTAAATGTAACTCTATTTAATTACATTATATTTATATTTTACTACATATAACTATAACTCTGCCCAAGAAATAGCTTTCTACTTTTTATCTCATTCTACTGTTTCTGAATACAGTTATTTTATTTAAAATTTATTGTATTAGCTTTTACCTAGTGTGACATTTAATAATTCCTAACTTTTCTTAGAGATGGCGCTGGAAAAAAGGATTGGTTCACAGTCACACCCCTTATGTTATTTTGTTGTTACGACAGTACCTTTCAAAATGCCATTGATGTTACAATGTTTGTTTTATGGAATGTTCTGCTCTTCTTGTTCAATCAAAAGAAAAATGCAAATGAAAGCTGTTACACACTTTTGAAAACGTACAGTGACAATGTGCTAATGCAAGATGCTTGTGTGCAATGGTTTTGATAATTTAAAATTGATTTTGACTTGAAAGACCAAGAACACCCAGGTCAACCGAAAAACTTTCAAGATGCCGATATCCAAGGATTTTAACTTGGGAAAAATCAAGAATACAAGAAATGATTACACATCAGTTGAACAACGGAAAAGCTAAAAATGGTTGGTGAAGTTTTGGTGTCTCGGTATAAAAGAAAGACTTTTTTGTATTAAATTGTGACTGGTAACAAAAAATGGCTATATTTTGAGAGCTCATAACTCAGAAAATCATTTGTTGACTCAGGACAATCATCAACATTGACCAAAACGCTTAGGAAAGAAAACAATGCGGTGCATTTATTATGATCGAAAAAGTATCGTGTATCATGAATTTCTGAAACCATCGGTAACATCAATAAATGATCAATTTAAACCATGTATTAATCGAAAAGCAACAAGAATGGGCTACAAGACACAGGAATGTAATTTTGCAGCACAACGTTCAATCACACACAGCAGAAGTGGGTAAAGACACCATTTCTACACTTGGTTGGGAACTCTTGTCTCACTCACTGTGTTCACTAGACTTGGCTTCTTCTGATTACCGTTGGTTTTATCGATGTCTCATGAAAATTTAATGATATATTGGAACAATTACAGAAATATCAATGGATGATTTGGACAAAATATGGCTGGATGATTAAACCACCTCAAAACATGCATGTTTTTTCTGGTAAGGCATCCATAGTTGCTATAGAGATGGGAAAATTGTGTAACTACCAATGTTGCATACTTTTAATGTACCATTTTTACTTTTCTTAAACTTTTTTTTTTAAGAAAAATTATCAACTGCCACATCCCGTATAAATGCATGTTTTTAAAGTAGAGCTGAGAAGCCTCATTGGATTTGATCCCTTGTTAAAATTGAATTCATATGTGTGAGGTTGTAGCGGATAAAGGTGATAAGATGGTGTCATAACCTCAACAACCTCAAGTCTTAATGGCACTGGTTAAAATCCGGCATGGGTGGACTGATCTCAATCTAATTAAAATAAGTTTATTACACCTGTAAAACAACTCATCCCTTTGTGCCAGAAATCGATAAGTAGGGTTTAATAAAGAAAGCTATATACAAATGAACTTACTTGAAAACATTAAATTCGTATTTATATAATTTTTTAAAAAATAGAATTAATTTATTACTATTTATTTTCACTTTTGAGAGACTTTCTCACTGCTTTTTCATTTGAATGTTGTCGAGTGCATTGCTGTTGTGTATATAAATATATATTTATACACATATACATACATACACCAGGTGTTTAAATGTGAAACTGGTGTTTTCGTATAGAATTTATTACATAAAAATGTTTAAAATATTTTATTTGAAATATTGCCCCTGACTAGCCATTTCTATTTCTCTGACAATTCTTAAGTGCCATGCCAGAAAAACTGTTGTTCTTTTGTTGAGACCAGTCATCAAATCATTTTTGTATATTTTCATAATAAGTGAACCAAGTGTCCCATAAATGTATATAAACAATAGTCAGACAAAGCCAATTATAGTGAGTAAGCAGCTTGCGCTAATAGTTCTCAACTGAATGCATCAATCCTGTTTCCTTCACTAGTTTTGCTATATGTGATGGTTCATTATCATGAAGCATTAGCAAAATGTCTTATGATATTCTGATCGTTTTTCAAACAATATTTGATTATAATTTATTTACATTTTTTGTTGATAGTGTTCAGAATAAACGGTTTCGTCACGTTTTAGCTCCTTATAATCAATCACATCCACATTACCACTTCTTTACTTCTCATCTCAAATTTGCCACTTATGAATTTTCAAGCCGCTTATAGCACTGTGATTGACCAAGAGCATGATCACCTTTACCTTTGAAAAATATTCTGCAGTAGTTTTCTTTGATTAGAAACAAAAACTAATGCAATCAGCAAATCGTATGCAAAACTTGACATGTTCCACATTATTAAAACAATGATTTTATATGAAACGTGCATTGCTGTTAGTTGAAAAGCTTCGCCACTTTTTTGAAGAAACAAAGTGGCACCAATAATGCGATTTAATGGTAATTATATTAACCACTAGAGCTATTTTTGAACAAATTATGTTTTCATATTTATATACCTGGTAATTTATATTATATTCTATATATTCAAAAACAATTTGTACCTCAAACATAAGTTCCTCTTCAAAGCTATGTCAGGGTAGTTTAATTAAGTTATCTTTATATTTAGTTAGTGACATGTTACAATAAAAAAACCATAGTACATACATATATTCTCAGCACTACAGCCCAATATGGGCCCTGGCCTCCAGAATTAATTCCTCCCCTCCCCCACTCGTCTCTATGCCTGACCATCATCCATCAGCCTAACGCTGCTAGCTACACTGCTTCTTTTCCAACCTGGTCTAACCATCTCATTTGGGATCTTCCTGTCTTCTACCCACCAGCACATAGCTCAATGGTATTGAGTCAAATCCATTTTTATTGAGGAAAATTAAATTAAAGTTGCTGGCACATAATATACTCTGATGAATTCATGGTTTCTTCTACATTACTCATTTATCAGTAACAAAACAACTTATAGAGGAACTTATCTTTTAGTTGGTGTGGAGGAGATTGTGATCACAGCTAATAGGATAGAAGAAAGACATTTTTTTTTTTTTTTTTGTTGTTTACCCCCTACTTTGCTATTTCTGGAATATGGGGGGAGTTTTCTAGAGGTGCAACCAAGCCTATTCTAACTAGATTGGGAGGTTGAGATTCATTCTATAGGTCCAATGAAATGCATTTTAACTTTTAAATAAGGTTTTGAACTGGAACTACTTAACTCATGATTGTTGAAGCAGGCAATGACTTATATACTTGGCCACCATGGCATTTATGGGAATGAGACTGTCTTGCAAGCAGGTTCTAGAGTCAGCATTCGTGTGTTTACATTTAAGTTCAGTCCCTCTTCTGCCTTTAAGATATCATTATTTTCCTATGAAGAGCTGGTATTTAAAAAGAACCTTTTATTTTAAGAGTGGTAATAATAAAAGGTGTCAATTAACATTTGTATCTCAACATGAAAAGATATACTTGCGACAAATTATTAGAATAATATTAATATTTCAATTAGATTTTTTACTAAAATTAACAATCAGTAGAAATTATATTTGTCTCAAAAATGAGAATAAAAGTACAAATGGTTGTCAATATATGGTTTAGTAAAAATTAATTAAATTGAAGTATTAAAAAGTTTTTTATATATTCTCCCTGAAGATATGACCATTTGCATAATACATTTTAAGCATTCAAATGTTTTTTTCTGGTTTACTTTATGGTCACATCTTATTATTTCTTGCACTGTATCCATCTCACTTTTTTATCAGACACTTCAATTAATTGAATTTGAAGTGTTTAGTTGTTGCTGATTGCACACCTAATCTTTAAATTACTTTATTTTTCATAAAAATTATTAAAAGTTAATTAATATACCATCAGTTTATTGCAATAAGTAAACTTTTGATGGAGCTAAACATTTAAGTATTTTATGAATTTAATATTTATTAATACAAACTAGTCATTAAATGTATCAAAATAAAACCAACTTAATTATTTGTTAACAATATTCAAATTAATAAAAAAACAAAGATTTTATTAAAATTGTTCTAAAAAAACAAAAAGAATATATATATATATATATATATATATATATATATATATATATATATATATATATATATATATAGATTCCTTTTACAATTTTGCTCCCTTACTACCAAACAAAAAAAATTTGTGTTCAAAATCTAAAATTTCTATTCATTATGTTTAAGACATCAATAATTAGTCCAGTCAATGA